CTCCCTCCTCCTTCCTCCCTGCGTTTCACCCACCCAGTAAAGCGGTTCGTGGCCCCATAGGGAGCTCCACCAAAGGCCCCAGTGGCAGGGTTCGCATGGCGGCCCCGCGTGTTGGCGCACCCCTCGCACGGTTCGTGGCCCCATAGGGAGCCCCACCGAAGGCCCCCGTGGCAGGGTTCGCATGGCGGCTTCGCCCGATTTTTGCGCACCCCTCACACGGTTCGTGGCCTCATAGGGAGCTCCACCGAAGGCCCCAGTGGCAAGGTTCGCGTGGCGGCCCCGCCCTATTTCGGTGCACCCCTCATACGGTTCGTGGCCCCATAGGGAGCTCCACCGAAGGCCCCAGTGGCAGGGTTCGCGTGGCGGCCCCGCGCCATTTTGGCGCACCCCTCGCACGGTTCGTGGCCCCATAGGGAGCTCCACCGAAGGCCCCCGTGGCAGGGTTCGCATGGCGGCCCCGCCTCATTTTGGCGCACCCCTCACACGGTTCGTGGCCCCATCAGGAGCTCCATCGACCCCAGTGGCAGGGTTCGCGTGGCGGCCCCGCCTTATTTCGGTGCACCCCTCGCACGGTTCGTGGCCCCATAGGGAGCTCCACCGAAGGCCACAGTGGCAGGGTTCGCATGGCGGCCCCGCCTCATTTCGGAGCACCCGTCACACGGTTCGTGGCCCTCCACCGAAGGCCTTCGCATGGCGGCCCCGCCTCATTTCGGCGCACCCCTGACACGCTTCGTGGCCCCACAGGGAGCTCCACCGAAGGTCCCAGTGGCAGGGATCGCATGGCGGCCTCGCCCGATTTTGGCGCACCCCTCACACGGTTCGTGGCCCCATAGGGAGCTCCACCGAAGGCCCCCGTGGCAGGGTTCGCATGGCGGCCCCGCGCCATTTTGGCGCACCCCTCGCACGGTACGTGGCCCCATAGGGAGCTCCGCCGAGGGCCCCCGTGGCAGGGTTCGCATGGCGGCCCCGCCTCATTTCGGCGCACCCCTCACACGGTTCGTGGCTCCATCAGGAGCTCCACCGAAGGCCCCCGTGGCAGGGTTCGCGTGGCGGCCCTGCCTTATTCCGGTGCACCCCTCACACGGTTCGTGGCCCCATAGGGAGCTCCACCGAAGGCCACAGTGGCAGGGTTCGCATGGCGGCCCCGCCTCATTTCGGTTCACCCCTCGCACGGTTCGTGGCCCCATAGGGAGCTCCGCCGAGGGCCCCAGTGGCAGGGTTCGCATGGCGGCCTCGCCCGATTTTTGCGCACCCCTCACACGGTTCGTGGCCTCATAGGGAGCTCCACCGAAGGCCCCAGTGGCAGGGTTCGCGTGGCGGCCCCGCCTTATTTCGGTGCACCCCTCGCACGGTTCGTGGCCCCATAGGGAGCTCCACCGAAGACCCCAGTGGCAGGGTTCGCATGGCGGCCCCGCGCCATTTTAGCGCACCCCTCGCACGGTTCGTGGCCCCATAGGGAGCTCCACCGAAGGCCCCCGTGGCAGGGTTCGCATGGCGGCCCCACTTTTTTTGCTGCACCCCTAACACGGTTCGTGGCCCCATCAGGAGCTCCACCGAAGGCCCCAGTGGCAGGGTTCGCGTGGCGGCCCCACCTCATTTCGGTGCACCCCTCACACGGGTCGTGGCCCCATAGGGAGCTCCACCGAAGGCCCCAGAGGCAGGGTTCGCATGGCGGCGCCGCCTGAATTTGGCGCACCCCTGAGACGCTTCGTGGCCCCACAGGGAGCTCCACCGAAGGTCACAGTGGCAGGGATCGCATGGCGGCCTCGCCCGATGTTTTCGCACCCCTCACACGGTTCGTGGCCTCATAGGGAGCTCCGCCGAGGGCCCCAATGGCAGCGTTCGCATGGCGGCCCCGCCTCATTTTGGCGCACCCCTCGCATGGTTCGTGGCCTCATAGGGAGCTCCACCGAAGGCCCCCGTGGCAGGGTTCGCATGGCGGCCCCGCCTCATTTCGGCGCACCCCTCACACGGTTCGCCGAAGGCCCCAATGGCAGGGTTCGCATGGCGGCCCGCGCCATTTTGGCGCACCCCTCGCACGGTTCGTGGACCCATAGGGAGCTCCACCGAAGGCCCCAGTGGCAGGGTTCGCGTGGCGGCCCCGCCTCATTTCGGCGCACCCCTCACACGGTTCGCCGAAGGCCCCCGTGGCAGGGTTCGCATGGTGATTTTGGCGCACCCCTCCCACGCTTTGTGAACCCACAGGGAGCTCCGCCGAACGCCCCAGTGGCAGGGTTCGCATGGCGGCCCCGCCCCATTGTGGCGCACCCCTCGCACGGTTCGTGGCCCCATTGGGAATTCCCCTTGCTTCGTCCCACCTGCCCTGCGGTTCTCACACTTGCGTATGGTTGGGCCCTTCGCCAGGATAATTCTTCCCTCCTGAATGTCTGCGATCGCATGTCGCTCATCCACGCCCATTCCTTATGTTTTTCCATATTTTCTGGGTTTGTGTCTCCCCCCCCATGTCCCATATTTTCCCACATGTTCTGGGGAGTCGACGATGAATTGTGTCTGTGTGCCTGTTTGTCCCTTCTGAGTGTCTGCGCTCGCCTGGTTGGAGGGCGTGGGGAGCCCAGCGGCTCTCGGCCCGCCCCCCCGAAGGCTCCTGCTGCCTGGGCGCGACTGGATGGGGGGGCGATCGGCGGGAGGGGGAGGAAGGGAGGTGCCCTTCTCGGGACCTACTACTGGCCCTTTCTGGGTCGAGTTAAATCTGCAGCCATCGCTGCCCCCTTCCCGACATATCGCGCCCCCTCCTCCTCTCCTCCTCCTCCTCCTCCTCCTCCCTCCTCCTCCTCCTCCTCCTCCTCCTCCCCCCCCCCCCCCCACAAGGTCCTCCCTCCTCCCCCCCCCCAACAAGGTCCTACCCCCCCCCACAAGGTCCTCCCCCCCCCCGACGCCGCGCGCGGAGGCCTCCGCAGGCATGGGCGGCGGCGGGCAGGGCCCCGCAGCGCGTCGCCCGAGCTGCCTCCGCCGTCCCTGGGCCGGGCGGCGGCGCGGCGGGCGCCTGCAGCACGGCACCCGCCGAAACCCTGGGCGACGAGCTCCACCCCGCGCGGGCGCGAGGCCCGTGACGTGGCGCTGGGCGGGCGCGCGAACGGCTCGGTCGTCTTCGCCTTTTGGGCTGGAGGGAGGAGCAGCACCAAAACGAATAGACATACCCACACGTGCTCGCGTCGTGACGAGAATCATGCCGGACCTTTTTCACATCCCTGTTGTATGTGTATATGTATATTCGCCGGCCCAACAGGCCAGGGCGTGCTAAGATCTCCGGTACCTGGTGAACAGTATTTCTAGTTCGCGCGCGCGGGGCGGCCCCTGGGGGTCCCCGGACGAAAAGTACCCCGGCAAGGTCCCGGCAAGTCCCCGGCAAGTCCCCGGCAAGGTCCCAGCAAGGTCGGGTCAGAGATGCCGGAGTTCTGTTTCGGAGTCCAAGAGGGCTCCAGATCGGTCCAAGAGGGCCCCGAGAAGCTTTCTAGACGGTCCAAGAGAGGCCCGAGACGGCCAAAGATCGCCCGAAGACGCCCCAGATGGCCCCAAGACAGCCCAAGAGGCCTCCAAGACGCTCCAAGGGCCTTCCAAGAGGCCTCCGAAGAGGGCCCCAAGTTGCCAAAATCGTTGATTTTCATTGTTTTTTCTATGTTTTTTTGCGTTCTGGCCTTTTCGCTTCCGGACGCTCCAAGAGGGCCCAAGAGGCCTTCAAGACTGCTCCAAGACGGCCCACGAGGCTCCCAAGACGGCCCCGGAGCGGCCCAAGAGCGCCCCCCAGACGGCCCAAGTGCTGCCCAAGGCGGACCAAGAGGCCCCAAGACGGGCCCAAGAGGGGCTCAAGAAGGGAACCGAGAACTGAAAAATCGAGCCCTCCGCCCCAGAAGGCGCCCAGGACCCCGAAAGAGGCCCCAAGAGACTCTCCAAGACACCCCCAAGACGCCCCAATAAGCTCCCGTGAGGCCCCAAGAGGACCAACAACGTCAGGCCCCAGGCCCCAAGAGGACCAACAAATACCGCCAAGAGCCCGCCGAAAGCCCCCCAAGAGACCGTCACGAGAGCTCAGGAGGCCCCCTGGAGGCCTCCCGAGTTCTCCAAGAGGCCTAAAAAGAGGCGCCAAGAGGCCCCAAACGGCCCCAACGAGGCTCCAAGAGGCCACGAACGCGCAAGCAAACGCCTGCGATGGCACAATACGGGCCGGCGGAATGAGCGAAGCGATTAATATATAACAATTTTCGGCCTGCTTCGGCTCTCGACAGGCCCCAGGATCGTAAACAAACGAGTTGGGATAAAAACGGGTCCTGGGGAAAGAGGTCGGGACTCTGGAAACCCCATGTTGAAAACATCAAAACATGGCACGTCGGGATATCCATCGGTCGGCAGTGGTGGGCGGAAGCATGGAGCAGGAGGGCGGTGGAGCAGACTGGGTCTCTGCCCGCTCCTGGAAGGCGAGATGTCAAGGGAGCGCCACCCGATCCCTGACACTGACATATGAAAGTCCCTCAAAGTCGACTGGAACCTGGAGCCCGCACCTACTGTTAAGTCGGGCGTGTCCCCCTATTGGGGGATTTTCGACGAACAACAAATATACCCCAAAGATGCACCAAAAAGGTAAAAACATAATCAAAACATAGTCCCCATAATATTATTTGTTAGTATTATTATTATTATTATGGGGGTATTTGTGATTTTTCCTCGGAAATCCCCCTGTAGGGGGACAGGCCCGACTTAAGCCTACTTTCAACGACCGATGGGTACATCATCTCTGGGGTGCTAGGGGGCCGAGCGGCGATCCGAGGAGGCCCCGCGGACCTCTGGACGGGCGGCGTGCCTTCCGAGTAGCCTCGACCCTCGAAGCTCCCCTCTCGGCGGTGGACGAACCTCCCTTTAGCGAATCTCCCCTCAGTGGAATCGGCCTGGGACCGAAACCGACGGACCTGGCCCCGCACAAAAATGACGGCCGCGACGCCGCGTCACGCCCCCCTGGCGAACCGAAAACGGCCACTTCGCTATAACCGACGTGTCCGAGGAGGACCATCCACCTCTGGCCCTCGAGGGAAGCCTCTAGGGTCGCAGACCCAAGCATTTCGGCGCTCGCCACCTGGTGGCGCCGCGCCTACTCCTTGTGCCTCCGGACCCACTGCTGCAGGCGCTCCCGGAGCTCCGGCTTCAGCCCAGCGGTCGGCAGGCCGCGGGCCTCGAGGTGCGCCCGGAGGTCATTGGTTTTGAGCTTCCCCGTGTATCCGAGGTCCTGCGGGTCCCAATCATGTGTGCCACCACCACCTCCACTCCCCCTCCCCCCTCGAACCACATTGGCTGGGGAAGGGATGGGGGTGAGGGACATGGTGGTGGTATATTGTGGGGCTCCATAAGTCCGCGATGCTGAGCATACTCTTGATCTTTTGCATCTTGTTGCTCGTACGTGGCACTTTGAGCGGGAGGCCGGAGAGAAACGCACAGGCCTGAGCCGTCTTTGAGGCCCTGGAGGGCGGTCCAGCAAGACAAAGTCGTCCAACAATATGTACGGGCGTTTGTACGGTTTCAGCATCACCGCCTTTGGGGCCTTTGGAGCGTTTACGACGGCCCGACAAGCGCGCCTAAGATCGCCCCCCCCATACGGACGAAGGGCCTCCCAGAGAGGCCCAAGAGGCTAGCCCATCTGTGTAGTCCCGACAACACTGGGTACAGCCGAGCAGCTTGATTGGGCAAGCGTGAGCGCAGAGAGCCGGAGCACGAGCCCAGCATCGCGTCAGTAGCTGGAAGCTGTCTGGGAGCTGCGACTGAAGGCCCCCGACCCCCACGAGGCCCTCGAGCTCTCGCAGCAACGCGAAGACGTACTTATGTTCCCTCCCCCCCGGGGGGACACCGACGCGCTCTGAGCATCTCAGAGAGGATTTGCTTTTGGCTGGGACCCCTGGGCAGAGGGGGAACGCGGGGGAGGAGCAGCTCGGGGGGGGGGGGGGCATCGAGCTTACCTCGGCGATGCATCGCCGATAGATCGTCGACAGGCCCCCCATAGCGAAGCCACGCGCTCCTGGGCGGGGTGGGCTATCAAGCCCCACAACAGCGATGAGCGAACGATGAGGGGTCGATACGCTCCCTCCTCCCCGAGCCCGCCCCTCTGTCGGTACCCTTCCGGATTCCGGGTCACATCACTCGGCTCTCCAGCGGCTGGGCGGCCGTTCGGGACGACTCGGGAACCCCGGGAACGCCCTCAGTAAGGCGCAGCCGCCTGAGGCTGGAAAGCTGCCGAAAACCGACGGAGACGCCCGAAATCCGCAAACTTCGAGCGGGCGGCTCTTCTGCTGGCGCTGGCGGCTCCTCCACTAACCAGCCTCGATCCCATCCCTATCCTTACGATCGTCAAGCCCAAGGGCGATGACAATCTCACGGATGCGTCCTCGAAAACAGAAAGAATCCTTACGATTGGCATCGAGATCAGGCGCTGCTGATCGTGGATCAGGCGATGCAAATCAGGGATCAGGTGATGCAATTCAAACGATGCCAATCAAAGATTGCGGAAACCAAAGAGTACCGATACCGCTACCCCCCGGACCTCGTCCAGGGTTCGCTCGTACAGTGATTTCGAGGCGAATCCAGCGGCGGCGACGAGGGCCTCCCAGGAGGCCCCCAGAGGGGGAAAACGGCCGAAGGGTGGAGGTATGGGTACCTTTTTTCTCCTCTGAGGGATAGGATAATCATCAGGCGATGCCAACCAGGCGATGCCAATCTCAGGTCGGGCCTGTACTCCTACAGGGGGATTTTGCACGAAAAACAAGACACAGCGAACAAATGCCCCAGAGTGGTCAAAACATATTCCAACATCGCCCCCACATCATGCTGAAACGGTTTGTGGATCTTCCTCCTGTAGAGGGACGGGCCCGACTTCTGCCAGCCGGCAGCCCGGCAATGCGCGCCCTCGCCATCGCTCGGACGTCCATTCCCTTTGTCTTGTTTGGTTTTGTGCGTGTGACCCCCCCCCCGGGGGTGCGAACGCGCCTGCGCCTGCGAGTGCGCGCGCCTCGGGCGGAGCCCCTCCGCCTCGCGGGGCAGCCGAGACCCTGGGCGGGCGCCCGCAGGCCCACGGGGCGACGCGAGGGGCCCCAAGGGGGGCGGCAGGCTTCGAGGCGATCGTCGCCTCGAGGCGCGCAGGGTGGCGAGGAGGAGGAGGAGGAGGAGGAGGAGGAGGAGGAGGAGTCGGAAGCCTGGGCAACTCAAGGTCACGTGCTCGGTCTCATGGCCTGTCTCGCTGTGTCTGCGAGCTCGGTAGCTGCTGGCGGCATTATCGGCATAGCAGGGGTCAGCCTACGGGCCCCCTGGCCTGGTTAGGCCCTATGGGCCCGCTGCAGCTCGGCGCCGAGTCCCTCAAACTCAAAACTGATATGAACGGCGGAAGCTATGGCCTTCTGGCCCATCGCCTCCTGCTCGGGTTATTATGTGTACGCTGTAGCATCTGGAAGTCCCGTCCCCCCCCCATCAACATCCCCTCTCCCCACCTCCACTCCGATAAGTTAGTGGCTTGCCCACTAAACAGGCATAGAAGACGTGCGTCCGTGCGGCCACATATTGGCTTTCCTCGAGAGCTCTACTCCAAAGGGCACTGCGCACTCGCTAATGCACCCTATACCCGAACGTCACTGCATGCTCGGAACGGGTCTGCCAAGGGGGCTCAGGAGGCTAAAAAGTCTGACGCGGGGGTCTTTGAAAGAAAGCGACGATCCCAAATCGGGGCAGGCGAAAGCCACCAACAATGTGGACTCCATTCTCTCCCGATGTGGGTCACCACGTACTGAAGAAACCCATCCATTCTAGTCTGATATCGCAATATCCGCCTGGCCCTCTGGCCGTTGCAAGGTGGCGAAAAAACAAAAAAAAGACCGCCTTCTCACTGCTCACTATTGCTGCCGTAGTTGAGCAAGCAGTGTGCGTGCACGTTCACCCCCACGCAACGCCATCTCACGGAGCCCCGCCATGCTCACGATCCGAGCTGCTGGCGCGCTTTGAGCGCGCTCTGCAGCTGTCGCCCCAGCGCCGACGGTGGAGGCGCCCCGAACACCTGGTTCGCCTTGAGTGCCCGTAGTCCCCTGCACGTCGCCAGCCGTAGGTCTTGAACCGTGTAGTTCCCCAGCTTCACTTGCGGCAGCTCGTTGCCCGTGCGAATGGCGTTCACCTGGCCCTCGTTGTGTCCCGTCCACGGAGTCGCTGCCAAGGCGTTGAACATCATGCGAAGCTTCCACTTCTGCGCCTGCCCTGGGTCCGTGTACGCCTTCTTCACCCGAAAGTAGGAAATGATGTCCGCGAGCTCCTCCTTCTGCATTATCTCGATCAGCATCGAGAACTGCGTCAAGACTGTCGCTGTCTCGCCCTCGATGTCTGCGCTCTTGGCGATCTCCTGAAAGAAGTCCGCGGCCACGTGTAGATGTGGGGACCCCCTCTCCTTGCTGCCCTTCGACTTCACGTCCTCTGCGTGAGATATTCCTGCTGCCGCCGCTGCGTCGATCGCCTTGTTCTCGTTTTCGACCAGGAAGAAGTCCCAAAGGCTGCCCGAGACCAGGCGCACCATCTGCGCGTTGTTGAGCGACATTTTCTGTAGCAGCAGCGTCCCCTCGTGTGTTGCACCTTCGCCCGAGCCAAGTTTGTTGCCAGCAAGCTTCTTCGGGGCGCCACGCGCTCCCTTCCGCTCGGGTGCGATGGCCTCTGCCGCTTGTTCCATCGCCCCTGTCCTCGGCCTGCTGCTTCCTCCTCCTGCTCGCCGCGACATGGCTGTCACTAGGGGGCCCTGGTACGTGCGTTGATACGTGTACGAGATGTTCGTTAAGATCAAAGCCCTCTCTGTAACAGACTCCGCACGTGTAGAAGCTCTTCTCTTCTGGCTTGAAGTCAAAAGAAGTGGCTCGGGTAGGGCAGCGAATGGGTTCTGACCGAGACATTGTAATGACATGGCGTAGGCAGGGCGCTCGGCTTGCGAAACATGTGCGACACCATGGGCAGACGTTCGTGCTAGCGATCATGGGGTGCAAGTTACGCATGTTATGTGCATGTGTGACGTGTGCTGTGAGTGCCTTCAGCGTAGTGAATGACATGCCGCACCCCTTGCCCTCGCCCTCCTCCCCCATCTCGCGCATGCACGCGCACTCGTCGATAATACTGCTGTTGCTGCTGCTGCCGTGCTCCACGTGCTGGTGCTCTGTGATGCTCGTGTGTATTCCCAGCCGTCTCCGTAGTATGTCCAGTTTTTTTTTCCCGAGATGTTGAGTAGGTCCCTATTTAAGCCCACGTGTACCTTAGCGAACCTCTTCCCAAGCTGGGGGTCTTTGAGCACCTGCAGTACGTTTTCTTTATCGGTCCAAATCTGGTCGAAGCGAGTGTCTACGTCTGCGAGCGCCTGCAAATCGTCCTTGACCTGCCTCGCCCAAGGCGCGGAGTGAGGAGTCAATCTACCTTCAGGGCTGCACCTCGGAAACTCGAGCAATCTATCCATTTCTGTCGTCCCAAAAATGGCGGTCAAAACCTGCGTGTGATGTGTTGGGTCCTTGGCCACCTGCTGAAGCCATCGGAGTCTCTGTACGCGTAATTCAGTGGCTGTGTCGCTCATCTTCCCATGCTCAAAGACGTCATTGTTGCTCAAGGTTCGCACTCGCCCTTCAAACTCTCGCTTGGCCTTTCCGTGCATCAGGCAGCGTAACATTTTGACCAAGACCGTGTCTAGCTGCCTTGTGAAATCCTCTGGGAGCACGAACGCCGAGAGGCCAGCGATCGCGGCACTGCACACGAAGCAGAGGAAAGGGGTGCGCAGCATGCGATGGTGGAGGGGCTGGTGCCAAACGTCTCCCAGCGACCTCCAAGCTGCCTGGGCTCCTTTAATGCGGGCTTTCAGCTCCGTCCTCAACGCCCCGTCGAAGCTCAGGATGGGCCCCAGGACTCGAACTTCTCTGCGTACTTCCCCCTGGGCTCGTTTCTGCCTGGAAAGTTCGCGTGCCGCCTCAAAGGAGCCATGTCCACTAAAGCTGATCATGTGGTTGGTCTTATCTTTGTTAAGGACGTGCCCGTTCGTCGCAATGTGGTCCTGGAGCCCCTGGGTGGCGTGATTCAGCTGCTGCGTGATGTATCGTGCTTGAGGTGCGTAGGCGTGTATATGCAGCCGTGAAACATCATCTACAAATAAGCCTATCCCGATGTCGACTTCATCTCGGGTGACGGGGGGCAACGACCGCGGGTCCATGAATAGCTGGCGTCGGCTTCGGCAAACTTATCATTCCAACTCTGGACCGTCGGCGAGTATGCATCTACAAAACCTCCAGCCGCTAGCGCATGACCCTGGGTTGTGCCTCGGCTTGGGTGAAAATCTGCTGTTCCGTCAATGGCCTCGACGTGCATGGTGGCGTGCAGTACGGCTTGGTCAGCTAGCTGCGCGTTATCTGCTCGGTG